CAGGGCACTGTCTAAACAGCAGCTTTCCCGCTGGATTGTGGAGGCTATCTCCTTAGCATACGGCAGCAGGGGTCTTCCGTTGCCCCAAGGTGTGAGGGCACATTCAACCAGGGGAATGGCAGCCTCATAGGCCTTGTTTAAAGGGGTTTCTGTGAGTGATATCTGCACTGCAGCCAGTTGATCATCACCGCACAGTTTTTGTTCGGTTTTATTGTTTGGATGGGACAGCCCCTTCAGTGGCTCACTCTGTCCTTTCTGCTGGGTCTACAGTGCACTAAAGTTTTGGAGGTTTGACTTCGGTTCGGTGGCTGCTCTGTGGGGCGTGTATATATGTCCCATACTATATGTGTTGTACCGAGTGAATCGACTGAAAGGGAACGAAATGTTATGAATATAACTTCTGTTCCCTGAAGGAGAGGAACGAAGTACAACACTAGGTTGCCCCACTGCGCAGCTAGGCTCGGTGAAGAGCGGCTATCGAACTGAAGGATGACTGTGGTATTACACGTATATATGTGCAGGCGGAGCCTCCCAGACGTCACCACAGATCATCTGCCTTAAAGGCGTGAATAAAGGTGTCTTCAGTCAGGCCACGCGAGGGCGTGATATCCCATACTATATGTGTTGTACCTCGTTCCTCTCCTTCAGGGAACAGAAGTTATATTCATAACATTTCGATTCTGGAAGTCTAAAATTTGATTTCCTCCTCTGGAAGGACACAATCTACTGCTTATATAGTTATGTGGCTGTCATTATGAAGACAACTTGTTAATGTGTGATAGGGAATCCATGGGTTCTTGTGAGTTCTCATAATCCACAAAATTCGCCTTACAAATTGGAAATTGGGGATTAGACAAACTCATGTGTTAACATAGTGTCAGAAAAATAATACTGCATCTAACTTGCAGCCAGCTGAGAAGAATGACAGAGATAGTGGACTTCTTATTCTTCGATAACTTTTACTTGCAAGGAGTCAGCAGCTTACAACAAAGGCAGCTTCCTCTGACTGAGGAATTCAGATTTTTACACATCCTTTATGCAGTCAAGAAACAGACACCCCCACCCACTAACATCATCTCACAAGTGGCATGACATTACAACAGTATCCAAATATGGTACAGGTTGCAGCTGTGGTCTGTACTGGGAGAAAAAATACAGCTTAGCTCATCATCAGGTTCCTGCTTATCAGTTCAATGTCACACTGTTGGAAAAAAAAACATGTGAGTGAAATTGTAGCATTGATCTCTTTGCTTGGCTTCAGCGGTCAGTATCAGTCCCAACTCCAAGGCCATACTTCTCCTTTCCCATGCTCATTAAAAAGAAACAGATATGACTCACATTCACATGAAGTGATTTTCAGTAACTGATAATTAACATACTTATATACTGATAAAATACATGTGATAGCATGCATATATAATTTTTCTTTCATTTCACTCCTGTTTATCATTATTACAGTATGAAATTTTTTCTCACATCAGTGACTTTCAACTTCTTTGTATTTTCTGTAAGCATGTCACATATTAACATACTGCAAAACAATTGTTGTATATCATGATGGGCTCAGCTAGACTGCAGTGTCCATGTTTCCAGCTTGCTCCACGAGCTTGAGATACACTTCACCATGTCCTGCAAGAGTGTGTCTCTAACTGAGTAAGAGACAGCATGAGTGATCATCAATCTGAGGCATGGTAAGATGCAGGAAATTAATACACAGGGGGTATTTGGTATTTCGGTGAGAGGCGCAGCCCGGCGTAAGTATCCCCCCTCCCTAACTCAGCTCCTCCCAGAGGCGTAAATCGTAGCGAGGGAGGAGAGAGGGCATGGAGTGGGTTTAACACAGCCGAGACCTGTTTTCACCAATCACATAAGCTCCTCTCCTTGCTTTTAAATCCCCCACCGGCGAGGCGTTTTACTATTTTCGTGAAGTAGTCAAGGAGATCAAGAGATGTGTGAAGACAGCAATGCCACACAATGGCGACAGAAGGCAGCTCCTCAACAAGTGTCACTGTAAGCGCTGCATTGGACGTCCTCCACACTCTCTCATATGGGCACAGATGGATTTGGTGTGTGTGATGTTGGACCCACTGGTAAGACAAACACCCTTTTCCACAAATAAAGACACTCACATAAAGTTGCATATATTCAAACCTCACGTGACAAAGGTGGGTTGAGCGCACAGATCACAACATAAACTCCAATAATGGCATTAAAATCAGAACCATCTGTGCGTAAATGACGCATCGCGCTCCGTGGCCCGGCTCTTTCTTTCATAGATGTTGACATATAAAATAAATTTGGCTCGACATGGCAGAGGCCATGACTCGCTATTACTGCCTCTAAAGCTCTGTTTGCTGATCTGACAAAAATCTTTTGTTTGAAAAACCTTATCTGTGGTAGTTTATGTCTAAGAACATTTTTTTTTTTTTTTGCACTGGAATCACACAAAAAAGGGTTACAGGTGAATCACGAATCATTAACTGTATCTGCAGTCTTGTGTCTGCATAGAAAAATATCTCCACCAAGTTGAGCACTTCTTCCTTCTCTGTCTCTTCTTTTTTCACAATTTCTCTTCCTTTCTGTTGACTTACACTTGCTGTCTCTCCCTCTTCTAGTCATGCTTGATACCCTTTTCTACAGTTCTTCACCTAGTGACCAAAAGCTCTGCAATTGTGGCACTTGTCCTCAATTCTCTGATGTTGTGGTTAATGACCTCGGTCAGGGTACTGTTCTTCACCTCTCTGCTCCAGTTATTCATAACCTCTGTCAAAACTTCTACTTCCTCTATCGCTTTCTTTATTGAAATTCCTGCCTCTGAACCTGCTTCTTCCTCGTTCTCCCTGTAATAGTCTTCAAATGGTTCATCATCTCTCCTATTGTCTTCTATTGTCCTATAGTCGTCCTATTTATCTCATGTAGAATGACATTAATCGTCACATTTGGAGTTGATCTCACATTAAATAGCATTATAGGAAGGGCTTTGATTCCTATGGAAGCGATTGTGACTCATATCTCAAATTCAAAAGCATTAGCAGAAATGCTTTTTCATTTCAAAGTCATGGCTGCACTATTTAACTCAAAAATAAAAATAAAAAGCAATATTCCAAAATGCATTTTCATTTTCTTCTTCAAGACTGCTCATTTTGTGACTAAATAAAAAAGCAAAAGCAAATCCCATTTAACATTAAATTTTCAAAACATTCACCAGCAAAAAGGTAACAAAATTCAATTTGAAATGTCAAATCCAAAAATTCAAAAGCATTAGCAGAAATGCTTTTTCATTTCAAAGTCATGGCTGCACTTTTTGACTCAAAAATCAAAATCAAAAGCAATATTCCAAAATGCATTTTCATTTTCTCCTTCAAGACTGCACATTTTGTGACTAAATTAAAAAGAAAAACCAAACTCTGAAATGCTTTTTTGTTTTTGTGCTCGCCCCGCAAAAAGTGTTTCATAATTCAATCTGATTCACAATCTCAAGTGGCGCAGGAAAGTGACGTCACGGACCCCACTCATTCTGGCCCCTTCTGGCCGATAGGGGGCAGTGAATCCATGTATCATTCGTTCAATTGATATTCAATTAACTAATTAATTAATTAACACAGCCTGTACACCTTGCTTGTTGGTTGTATTCAATGTTTGTGTGGACGTCTCCACAACTATGATCCACGCTTCAAATAAGTAGAAACAAAACACTTGGTGTTAACAAAGATATATTACAAATATTTACTTCTTTAATGTGGAAAAGCGTCCGCTGTCACCACTCGTACTGATCGCAGTCAGCATGAATGAAATCAAACCGCGGATCGCGGCTATTTCAGTTGACTAACGGACTTTATACTCCTCATTGTTCTCATCACTGATCGATGGATTTGGGATATTTTGCAGATAAAGGGCCATAAACACAGTGAGAAACAGACAAAATGGTCATAGAGATGCCTTAAAAATACATGGCACAGAGGCAGAATCACTGCAGTCTCTGTCCATGTTAACCTGTGACTGTATGCAGATGTCAGCGGTGTGTCAGGTGTGCTGGTCCTTTTACTCACTCACTTACAAGCATGGAGACGTGGACTCTCCACATTTGATCTTCAGTGGACTAAAAATATTCTAATTTCAAAATGAATAAGAAGAAATTAGCCACAATTTTGGCCATTGGCATTTGCACCAAGAGGCAGAGAGAGGCTTCAAAACTGAGGAGACAGCTGCTGGTACGACGAGATAGAATGAGGATGAGGAGGAACAGACGTGCTGTCCTGGCGTTTGTCTCTGGTTGTGTTAGTTTTTGTAAGTCATGTAATTAATTATAAAGTACCATTACGTTACCAGTTTGTAACATTAACAAAATATATATAGTTGTGGTATATTTATATATATTTCTTCTAATTTCAAGTGGTAAAACATGAGTTACTGAATCCTCTACTGTGCAGTTACACTTCAGGACCACCCTCTCAATGCAACACATTTCCATCACTATATAACATTTGATACCTGTGGTAATTTCCTAGCACTGTCTTCTCTTGAAATTTGGGGGTAGAACCATGAATGGACGTAGTAAAATAATTACAGTTTACAGTAAGGTCCAGTTACAGTAAGTGCAAATTGTGGATCTAAAATGGAAAAGAAATAGATCTAGCTAAGTAGCGTGGTGATTGACTGTATGTGAGTCGATTTCAGTAAGGCGACATTCTGCACACTCAGAACTCATTTATCAGGAGGTTTACTCACATAAGAAATGTAACAATCCACAGACACTGAGGGATGAAACAAGTTCAGTACGTCAGCACAACAGTTCATAAAAACAATTAACAGTTGCAAACTGAAATATGTTTCTTTTTTTAAAAACAGAATCAACTCCAAAGAGGTACGGACAGATCAACTGGCATGTGCCAATGTTCCGCACCTTTTTTCGAAGGCTGCTGAGCTTAGACCTGCCTTCAGGCTCTCCAACACCACCATGGAAGCTCTGATCTAGATGCTGCCTCCTCGGGAAAAGCCCCATGGCTGGAGCCATGAAATCAAGGTGGCTGTTTGCCTGTACTGGCTGTGGAAGCCCCTACTGTGTGACAGCCGACATATTTGCCATCTCGAGAGCCACAGTGGCCAGAATTTTTCACAATGTGGTAGAGGAGCTGATAATCATCCTCCACAGGGCTCTTCACTTTCCTGAGCTGGAGGATATGGAGGAGGTGGGGGCGGGATTTGCCCAACTGGCTGGCCATGAGGCATTCCGCTGTGTCAGGCGAAATCGACAGGTGCCACAGCCGCGTCGTCTCACCTGCTGAACCACAAAAAAAAAGTTATATAAATCGGAAGCTCTTCCCCTCTGTGGTGCTTCAGGCTGTGTGTGACAGCTCTGGAAAGTTCCTGAACACTTACATGGGAAATAGCGGCTCTGTGCATGATGCCCCAGTCCTCCGGAGGTCACCCATGTATAAAGAGTCCCTTTATCCACCAGCTGGCTATGTCCTTCTTTGGGATGGAGGGTACCCATGCTTGCGGCATCCAGTCACCATCATAACGCCATACCGCCAGCCCTTAGCAGGTAAGAAAAGAACAAGAAAATGTTTATTACATCACATATCAGTTGTTACTATGCATTTACATTCTGGGATTTCTATCAGTTTGAAACATTAACATGAGAAGTACTTACCTGTATTTTTCACAATTAGGCTGGGTTGAGGAACGCTTCAACAACCTCTGCCTGGCCACAGATGATATCCCGGAGGAGGAACATCACGAAGATGGTGAGGGTGGGGTGGCACAATTTAAAACGCTACCAAGCACTCTGGTGCGGACCTCCGTACCAGACTGGCTGCACAAGTGTCCGCTTCCAACAGAGAGCTGTCTGCACATTTAAGGGAGCATGATAACGAAGCTGAAAAAATAGTTTTGACACGTAAGTAGTTCTTAAATAAAGCAAAAAGATTTGATTATTTTTCAGGTAATCGTTATTGTATTGTCAAAAGTAATGCTCATTTATTGTCAATTTTGTGTTAATAAATCATAATGTAAATAGTTGAATTCAGATAGTGTTGTGAAGTGTGATAGTTTAAGAGAGTTTAATTGTTGTGTGTGAAATATTTAAATAACTTTGTTGATTAAAATGATGATTAACTGTTTTTTATTAAATGCTCAACTCATAGACTAAATTGGGACAGGGGAAATAAATATCTTCATTTTGTTTCAAGTAATGTTTTGTCAATCCAATAGCTATCTACAGGTAAAGTTAAAAAGTGCTGTAATTATGAAGCACAAGTGTTTAATAATTAGTGAATCAAGGGAATGAATGCAATCCCCATAGATGTGCATCATATTTATTAAATTAACAAAAAAAACCACAAATCTTCTCCGCCTTCTCTGCTGCCGCTCTCTCCCTCGCCTCTTCTCTGGCCACTGCCTCCTTCTTTCGCTCTTCGTCCCCCTTGGCCTGCTCTTTCATAAATTTGAGGAGCTCTTCCCCTATTTTTGCCCTCTTCTTGGGCAATAGTGCTCCTTCTCTGGGAGGGGCGGAGGACGGGGAGGTGACACCACCACCTGTAGTGACGGTCACGTTGGCTTACACTACAAGGGGCGGACTGATAGAATGCTGCCCCTGGAGTGCAGCATCCATCATCCCGTACCACTTCCAGGTAGCAGCGGTCACCCCATCCACCTCCACCATTTTCCTGCTGGGGGGTCCCTAAGCTCCTACAAAATAACGTATGAATAAAATATAAAACATTGGTAGGTTTCACATTGTTCATTCATGATATATTTATGAATATGACCTTAAAGCAAGCACTCAACAAAGAAAAATATATGGACTGTTACAGATATCATGTACTTAAGGAAGCTCCAACACTGTTTTGCAGAGGGGGGGGGGATGGTTGATTACCTTATATTTTTCTTTCAGATTGTTCCACTTTTTGGTGGTTTTTTGGGGGGTTACATTGGGCCCCAATTCCATTACAAATACTCTAAAACACAGTAAATATGTACAGCATGTTATTGTGGAAATAATACCTGTTGGATACATACACACTACAATTTAGTTGGGTGACAGTTCTGTTATTATTATTATTGTTGTGACAGAGCTTTATTTTCTTTTTTGATGCAGCAGTTTGTCAGATTGTTACAATGAAACACATACTGGCCACTAAAAGGCTGGCATACAAACACAAAAAACACACTCACTCCCATCCAATTTTGGAGGAATTCCTTCGCCTGGTAAATAGGTCTTTGTGGGCTGCCAACCACTCAATGAGGGTGCTAGTTTCCTCAGATGTCCCTTACATGAAAAGTTTAAATGTAACAACATTGATTGGAATATCTACTAGTGACGTTACCATTACCACAGATTGATACCTGTGATACATATTAAAACAATGGTATTCTAGAAAGAAATAAGGGACACAGGGGAAGTTGAGGAGGATGCCGACCAGCTTGCTAGCATGGGCATGTCAAGAAAACATCCGGGTATTGTAACCCTTCTTGGTGAGAGGTCATCTTGTGTATTGAGACAGAACTTGTCTGAGACTGATGACGTTTCACAAGGAAACAAGAAAGCAAGAACACAGAAGAACACATATTGAGATTTGCCCATGCACTTATCCCAACTATCTTCACCTGGCTTGAAACAGCCGCACCTTTTCATCCTGGCTCTGCAAACGTGTGACCAATTAAGCCAAGATGTGCTAATCAGATTAGGTCAAGCCGCGCTTGCTCAGTTATCCTGGATTTCTTTATTCTACTTTTATGCAATACCCCTCTGGTCTAATGATGTATTTTGACTGTCCAGGGTACATGCTCCAGGTGTTGGCTGTGGAGTATGTGCCAAGCGTTCAGGCCAGTATTAATCTGTCCGACACAGTAATTCCATTTATTGAAAAACATATAAATGCACTGATTGTTCGCTCACCATTTTCACAACAAACTGGGTTTGGGGCGGCAGTAGCTCAGGAGGTAGAGCAGTTGTCCAATAACTGGGGGGTTGGAGGTTTGATTCCCCCCTATCCCCAGTCTGTCTGTTGTGTCCTTGGGCAAGACACTTAACCCACCTTGCTCCCAGTATGTGTCCTACACTGGTGTATGATTGTGGGTGTTGTGGGGTGGTGGTCAGAGAGGCCATAGGCACAAATTGGCAGCCACATTTCCTCCAGTCTGCCCCAGGGCAGCTGTGATTACTAAGGTAGTTTACCACCACCAAGCTGTGACTGTGTGAGTGAATAAATGATGTATCCAATGTAAAGCACTTTGAGGGTCTCTGATAAAGTGTTATAAAATGTTATGCATTACTATCATTATTATTATTATTATTATTATTATTAGTAGTAGTAGTAGTAGTAGTAGTAGTAGTAGTAGTATTGTTAAGGTGGTGTGTCCGACGGCAAATTTTTAAATAGGTTTCTGAGGTGGCCTGAGCAGGCGCTAATGTTGTTTTTATGTAACCCAAAGTTACAAACACACTACTGAATTTGATACTTGTATGAAAAATTAACAGTAAAAAGGAAGTGTGATGCATTTTAGGTTGGTCAGCTGGGACTTCATTTTGCCTTCTTGAATAAACTGACTGGTTCATGTGAAAACCTCAATTTTCTTTTTTTCTTCATTTAAGTCTACAGCAGGATGCAAAGCATTTCTAAAACAATTGAAAACAGACTGCTACTTTAGATTTTTATTAACAAACTCACACACACACACACACACACACACACACACACACACACACACACACACACACACACACACACACACACACCACACACACCACACAAGTCCCTCCACAATGTGGAAGGAAGGTAACAGAGCTACCCAGGTCTGCTGATGAGAAGATAAGATGTTTGCGCAAATGGAGTGTGTGTGTGTATATTTGTGTGTGCGTGCATGTGTGTTCGAGAGAGAGAGAGTGTGAGAGAGTGTGAGAGAGAGAGAGAGAGAGATGTGAAGATAAAGCCCAATGGCACAGCGAGCAGTTCACACCATATATTACAGTGAAGTCCAGTATTAACAATCCCCCTCCCTTCCTGCCATTGAAACCATGTTTGACTTATGACCTGTGTGTGTGTGTGTGTGTGTGTGTGTGTGTGTGTGTGTGTGTGTGTGTGTGTGTGTGTGTGTGTGTGTGTGTGTAACAGAGAGAGAGAGAGAGAGAGAGAGAGAGAGAGAGAATTCAAGAAGGGAAATGTGGGTATACTGGGTGTGTCAGTGGCTTACAATAGATCAGGATGTGTTCAGAGTGTCTCTTTAACCAAATCTGGACCAGATATGCTCATGTAATTAATTAATTTTCATGTTGAATTCACTCTGTTATGTATGGAGCATGTGATCAACTTCACTAAAAAGGTAAACCATCCAGTTTGTCACTTCATGAACGTGGACCTTTGGCCACAGTGCTGAAACAGTTGCCTCCTCCTATCCTCGCTCAGCGTTTAGAGCTTATAGGGGGACTCACTTTGTTTGTTTGGGTGTTTTTCCATCTCTGCTTTTATCTGCACTACTCTGACTCTCTTTCCTCAGACAACATCAGAGCAGCAGATCTGCTACCATTACAGAGGACCTTTCAGGTGCATAGCGATGCATTGTGGTTTGCTGTGCCTTTTAAATGCACAGTTGCAGTCATGGCTGATCAGGGATCAGGATCTTCATATCATATATCTCTCAATTTTTTCCTGACTGATTTGAAAAATCATGCAATCCATAACACAAATCCTTGATCTAATCCAATCTGTGAGATTTGTGATCCGCTGCATGCCTAGTTCCTAAACATTTGAAACATACAGATAAAATTCACTTGACAAGAAGGCAGTATATCTGGCAGTCAGCTGTGTGTCAGTGAGTCAGAGGTTGGCGTTGGAAGCAAAACAAGCAGCCACTTAAGGTTTTGGTCCTGTTAAGAGCAGGATGATGACGTCATCTCTTTGGTCCATGGCAACACATTTAAGGGCTCTCTTTAACCAGCAGGTTTTTATTCCTCCTAAATGTGTTGGTTCTGTGAGTGTGGGTCTTGCTTACTTTGCAAATACTGGCTGTGTTTTACAGATGGGAGGAAACTATTAAAAATGCTTTGGAAACATTAAAAACAACAACAAAACTGCTTTTACCCTGACAGTCATGCATACACCTTTTATTTTTTTCATTAAAAGGGGCGTATTATGCTTTTCCACACCTACAACAAAAATACCAAATTACAATGTTTGGTGTTCATACTGGATGTACTCAAAGTTTCAAATCATGAGATACATGTACGTTGTCATAATCTTAGAAAAAAGATGTTATTCGGTCTGAGCACATCTTTAGGGCAAGAAAAGGTGTTCACTCTGCAGCCCTGTCACAACTGGACTGCCATCATGTTGTCATGTGAAACCACAAATTACAAGTCCATTAAAAGAAGACTGCCAGCCACGTTATGTAAAGTCAATGTCATGTCTCCTCTATGGTAAGCAAATGTTGACAGTGCCCAGAGAACCAAACTAGACACAAGGCTGTCGAGCTTCTTTGAGGAAACTTAAACCCCAACACAATGTTGGTGTAAAAGTCTGAGCTCTACATATGACACTGACCATCATACCCACCAGTGGCATGGACACACCTTTTGGGGTGCAGGGCAGGTGCTCTGTGAAAAATAAGAGCACCTTGTGTGACGTGGAACCGCCAGCTGCCTTATTATAGCATTGTGATATAATTAAATAAATAAAAAACATTACAGGCACATGTTGTACATAATTGCATATTTATTTCAATATTAAAATGACTGTATTTAAATAAAATCTAACCTTAAGCATTGGAAACCTCTGCACATTGCATGTTCACATTAAAAAAGGAAAAGAGGGATGTTTAGTGTGTGTGTGTGTGTGTGTGTGGGGGGGGGGGGGGGGGCAT